CATAGCCGAGAATGCCGAATTCAAGGCTGCACTTTGCGAATATTTTTTTTTTTGATTTTGGTTGACAGTGTTTTGTTTTAACAATGTTCTGTTTTTGGATTTTTATGCTTACCCGCCTAATTACTGCTTGTCTTTGTGTGCAATTAGATGTGTGTGTGTCCACTCCACTCTATAACGCCTTCGGGCCCTGAGGGAATGAATAAATAAAATAATATAAAATAAAGTACTTTTGCGGATTGCGCCATGTTTGCGATTTTTTTTCTAGAAATTAGCAACGTCGATACTTAATAATAAATATTTCTGAACTTGTGACCGTGACCCATTTCTTTGGGAGAGGTGCCGCAAATGCTGACTTCGCGCAATTCGCGGGAAGCGCTTCGCTCTGAAAGTGTGCTAATTTTTTTTCCACCAAGACAAACATTTTTTTTCGAAAAACAAGTTTCGGTTTTGTTTTGGTAATCATTGACTCTGCAAAATATTTTTTTTCGTAAAATTTCAAAATGGTCTAGCGGACATGGTCGGTCGAACTTGTCTGCAAACAGCCAACACTTAACCAACGGCTCTCGCAACAATGCGGGGCTGAAGCTCTGTCGAAGCCATTCTAGTCTTGACAATGCAGCCCAAAATAGTTGACGCCGAGTATAGCTAGGTTTGAGAACCCGTGTTACCGAAAGCTATGCCAAAACAGCTCTGCCATCTTAAACAAAGTGCGCAAGAGCCTCGCTTGCCTAACCTGGAAAAGGACGTTTTCTTCCTTAGGCAAGTTTTAGTGCGAGAGCATTAACTGTCTCATGAAGCGAGCTGACGTTATCAGTTTGAAGCGCGAAAATGGCGCATAGCTTCCCCGATCCTTTGGTTCCATTGGCTGGCGCGCGTCTACGGGGCTCCCATTGGGCGCTGCGCTCGTCAGTTTCCACGACCGCTCACCCCTAGGGGCTGCGAGTCCATCAGAGGGCCATTGCGCCCCTGGGCACGGAGCGTCCAAGGTCACCGTGCCCAGGGGAGCACACGCGCTGACCCGGCGACGAAAAGTACGCAGCAGACGAAAAAGGGAGCAGACGAGCGACGTGCATGCTTTCACCTTCACAACTCATAAGGAATGCTTACGTGTAGCTCGATATTTTTCTTAAACCAGTACGTTCAGCCTCTTTGAAATGTTATCAGGTGACAGACAGAAGTAAATCGGAGAAAAGAAAAGGTCACTTTTGATCGTATGCTGGGGTAAAGCCAAGAACAACAACCACGGTGTCGTCACTTCGTGAGCCTATCTGTGTCTATTGAAGGCTATACACTTTTTTTTTATTTGAATGATCGTTTTCGCCTGTACTTCATGGGTTGTGGACTTCTCCCCTAATAGTGTTTTTCCTCTGAAGCGAGTAGCATGGACTCGAGCCGCAGCACAGTAGAGTTAGTTCCTTGGTTGTACCGCCGTTTGGGAAGGGTTGCACGATTGAGGGAGGGGGGGGGGGGGGGGGGAATCACGACTCGCTGGCCTACCTCGGGCGTGAACGAGATTTGTTCATTTTGAAGAATTTAGCTAAAAAAAACTGGAACCGCGACGAATGTACCTGCATGGTCGAAAGCGCCAGGCAAGCCCTGTGAACGCTTTTGTTTTCTAGCCTCTCAGTCTTGAACCCACTTGCCGAACCACATGTGTACATGGCCCGATAGGAAGGAACACTTATCTGCAAAATGGTGGATGAAGGTACTTTGCACTGTCGTTTCCATTATCAGAATTCTGTATTATGATCAAAGGTGGACTGCACATTTCCAACACTTTTCTCTTCTCTTAAATATTTCATACTACAGACATGAAGTATAGTCAATGGCAAAAAGAGAATGGCTGGGCGTCTCTTCCGAATGCCCGGCCTCAAGCACGCACTTGTACTTCTCACCCTGCTTTGGTTGCTTGTGCACGCTCAAGGCTCACGAGAGGCCCATACGTAATCGAAGGTATTACGTGTGCTAGAGGTAAACCAACTACGACTTTTCTCTGCCGTTTTCACGCTTGCAGTGAGCGTGAAACGTCTATACTATACCTTAGCTTAACGTGTACAGAGCTCGGGAGGGTAGGCTTGGTGAGTAGCTTTACTGCGTACGCATTTGTGCAGCTAAAGCACTTTCTGAATCAAGTAGATTGCTCCCAAGAAAATGTTGAAAACAAAAGGACGCCTTGGGAAGCTCAAAGTTGTTTTAATTGCCTTAGCAATGCAAACCTTCTTTCCAAGCACAAGAGGAACCTGGTTTCGGGGCAGTATGTCAACTTTCGTCACAAGTTCCGACATGAACTGCAGGGCTACGAAAGAAGGCAAAGAGCGTATTTATATGTTTTTGTGCTCCTGACAATGTATGACACTTCTTTTTCCACACTGTGGGGCGCACTAAAGCTGCTCCTTCTGCTCAGTCATGGCCAAGCTTCCTTCGAAACGGGTTTTAGTGTTAACAAGTGTCAACAAGCAGATTGCTGTTGAAAACTTGGCAGAGATTTCATATGTTTCTCAGCGGATCATATTCGACGCTATCGAAAACCATGGTGGCATGCTCCGTATTCTACTGCCGAAGGAGTTAGTCCTCTGTACACCTAGCAATGCGGAACCAATTAATATTTTGCATGTATACTAGCATACTTAATTGTTCAGTGGGATGTTGAGAAATATTTAGTGCAGTTTAATTTACATGTGTTTTTGCACTAAGTAGGAAGTGGACCAGTCATTTGGTCTCTTTCACAAATTCATAGCCTAAAAGACTATGATTGTTAATTTCTGCAAGAGAGAAGCACAGCAGTCCCCACTGGAGCTTGGAGAGGCGGCAAGGAACGCCAACAGCGAGGTCCGTTGCACCACGTCCAGCTGAACCAGCAAAAGAAAAAAAAATTACATCGTAGGTCTACGAAAGACAAGCGTATGAAAAAGATTTTAACAAAGCACCGTAGCAGCGCAGAGGGACCATCTCGTGTTCGCCGTCAAGACTTGCAACAGAGGGAGACGGAGTCGAGTGACGACGAGCTGATACCCAAGAACCAGCTGAGGAGGGCACAGAAGAAGATACAAAATTTAGAGTAAGAGTTGGAGCGCGAGCTCAAGACGAACTTGCGGCTCACAAATCGTCTTCTTCTAGAGATCGGTAGGGTGCTGTGCACTGTTATTACGAGCCAGATGAGCACCGCCTCCAGCAATACTTTGCTGGTCCGCTGGTTCAGAGTTTATTCACCTGACCTGTTGTTGTTTTTACCTGAATATTGGCGGAGTTCATCTCGTCTTTCGATTATACATATAATTTAGAGCTTTCCAAAGTTTTATTTGTTAAAAATTTTTCCAGTTTTAAACTCTCAATCATTGAATATAGCAGTACAAATAAATACTAACTGCATAAGCGTGAAACTTAGCAGGCAAAACTTGCCAGCAATAAAATTATCACTGCCAGTCACTTTGAAATCTGTATATGTCTATAGATAATGAAAATAGAGGTTTGACTACATTCTAACATGACTTAAGTATCGCTGCAACTCTAATCCATGTCGTCAGTGGCGGTGACGTGTGCAGAATTTTGCTCTTCAATAAAATGGGGCTGTAAAGAAAGCCGAGTGAATGCCTCGCAAAAGAGTCATGAAGCAGCCGAGAAGGCATGTCGTGTCCGGTTATCGTCAAATGACGGCTACCTCCTTGACTATGATGCAATTAAATGCAAAGGTGCAAGCGAGCCGGATAATAATGATGAAAATAATCCCTGGAGAAAGGGAACAAGAGGGACAAAGGACAAACATAAATCTCCAAACACAGCTAGGTGAGTAGTGCGCGACCGAAAAAATCCGCCTGGTCCGGGTATCGAACCCGGGACCTCTCCATTACAGGTGGAGCGCTCTACCAACTGAGCTAACCAGGGGTTAGACGTTGGAAGAGCAAACGGGTTTTTATCAGCTGCCACCAGTCTAACACCAACAAGGGTGAAGCTTGCAATTTAAGGTTATGATTATAATGCAATTAGGTAGTGTTTGTCGGATTTGATTGGATTTATCTGAAAACGGAGAACTCTACCTATATATCCATATATGTTACTGAACACGGTTTCGCTGAACATAATTTTTTGTATAAAATTGGGTGATAGGATTTCGCATTATTGCACTGTGAATTTTATCTTGTGCCCTGTGTTCTTACAGAAGTGGCAAGTAATGCAAGCAAGATTGCAGCCCTTCTTGCACGCTTAACTCCTGCCATCGAAACGGCTGCAGCAGGACCTGTGGAAAGTATGTACGGCAAATGAAAAGTAGCAAAAGCTTCGGACTACCGTATATACGCGTGTAATGGCCGCAGGTATTTTTTTATGATTTAGGGCGAGAACTAGGGGTGCGTCCATTACACGAAGAAAAATGAAAAAGTTTTTTTGAAAATCCTTTTTTTTTTGCCGAAAGTTTCATTACTTGCTTTTCATTAAATGGAAGTACTCACACGCCTTGGTAAAACAAGAAAACGTTTATGTGTAGCGCATAGACAGGCGTCCAAAGTCCTTTTCAGACGTCCGTAGTCGATCGCTCATCTTCGGAACTTGTCTCGGCGTCCGGCGTCTCGGCGTCGTCGATAGCGAACTTCCGCCTTTTGCTGTTGTCTTGAGCAAAGGCCGGCAGTGTAACTCGTGTACTTCCCCATCCATGAGCCTGAAGTGGGTGACAGCGGGAGACCGGGGGTACTTGCAAACACAAAGAGATACAGTGCGTCTGGTTTGAGATTGTTCGAGTTAAAGTGAGAGGCGCAAACAGACAGGATAGGGTGCCTCAATGTTGTTGGCTGCCGCAGCCGGGTGGGCGCCGTCTGCCGGCAGTACTTGAAAAAAAAAATGTCCGTACCTACGATTCAAAAATTGTACGTGCGGCCTATACACGGGTACTTTTTAAATATATTTTTCCGCTTTCTTTGTTTAGAGTTAGAAGTGCGGCTACTACACCAGTGCGGCCGTTACACGCGTATATACGGCATATACCGAAGGTTGGACTGAACGTCATAATCATGACTGCCTGGGTTATCGCTCTAGGCACAGTTTGAAGAATCACCTAGATTTGGTAAGACGCAAAAGAGCGCAGGGCTCTTTTGCGTCCGGAATAGGGGCGCAGGTGTTCTCGGAGTGCTAACAAATCATCATTTATCTCAAATTAAGATCTCGTCGAAGCAAGCAGCAGGGAGGAAGTGGCTGCTGTGCCCAGGGTCATGGTTGGGGATGCTGCGGCAGTAGTTGGCGCGATAGCTGGTATGTTTTGTTCAACCAGTGTTCAGGATATAACTTACCTGTTCCTGAGCTGGGCTAGAAACCAATCGCAGAAAATTGCACAACCATTTTGTAGTTTAATATGTTTGCGCAACAAAACCGGGCGGCAGATAAACACATCTTGAGATAACGATAGAGAAAGTGGAAGATAACGGCCTGTCCTCGTATTATTTAGTAGTCCACTAATATTTATTGAAGATATTCAGAGGTCATAGTGAAGGAAACAATAGTAAAAGCAATTAAGTAAAAGGAAAAAGAAGTTCAAGATTCTAGGTTTCTGTATCACATCTCTACCTCTAAAATTCGGCAATAGTGCGTCATCAAAAAAAAAAAAGAAAAGAATGGAGAAGTCATTGTCATGGAAGCAAGCTAATTAAAATTTTATAATTTATTCCTTTCTTCAACGCTGCTAAATGACAAATCCCATTATTTGGTCACTTTGCTTTGTTGCTCCTGCGTGCATGATTTTAAACCCACATGCCTCCTTAAAGTTATGTATTACATACTATACAGACGCTGCCTAGGGTGCTGGCTGCCCTGCTGAGGATGCTGGCGGACCAGATGGAAACAGCGGCCGTCCTGACGGGGATGCTGGCCGTCCCGATGAGGATGCTGGCCATTCTGATGAAGGTCCTGGCCACCCTGATGAAGTTTTTGGCTGCCCTGAGAAAGATGCTGGTTGCCCTGAGGAAGATGCTAGCCGCCCTGATGAGCCGGAACTTCTAAGCGTTAATTATGGCCGAGTAAGCCAACTCTTTTTCGTGTTTCCTAACTTGCGCTGTTGCACGTATCCTTGGCTATCTATGATGGGTAAGATAGGGCACCCCCTATACCAGTAAATTATATATAAAACATGGCCGCAATAATTTTTCTCAAACCCCTGCATATCCAGATGGCACTTATCTCCACATACAATGGCTAATGGTATGGTTAACAGTGCCACTATGCACAGGGATTTTGAGGGACAACCGCATGGTTTCGGTGTGGAGCTTGCTTGGCACGTGGGTCTCCCCTCACAAAGGTCATCGCAAGCGCAGCAAGCTCTGAATATGCGACTCATTTGAGAATTTCAGAAGCTTGTTTGTGATCTTTTAAGGTATCTTTAAAAAAGGCCTTTAAAAAATCAAATTTTCCCCATATATTTCTTCTGCCATATAACGTGCACACTTATTTTTGGAGTAAATCCAGGGTGTCTAGCGACCGTGAAAACCGGGAATTGTCAGGGAAATTTTAATTACCGGAAAAAACCAGGAAATTGTCAGGGATATTGTCAAAAAGTGAGCCCAACGAGGGAAAATGAGCTGGAAACGCCAGGGAGTGCCCTGAGCAACAATTCGGGGACTTAGGGGCAGAAAATGGGCTATAAATTATGCTTAGAGCGGAAGGCGGGCTCTGTTCACCCAATCCAGAGTGTGGAATCATATGCAAAGGGAACAGCCGACAAATCCAGTTTAAGTTTTGGAAAGGATTAAGGGCGCTACACTATTCTAGATCCAGTTAGAGCCTCCTCGTACTTAGGGGTGTGCACACTTTTTTCGAACCAGATTTTTAGGTCAAATTTTCGGGGTTCGACGAACCTTCAAACTTTTCACCAGATTCGACCGGTTCGACTTCGTGGACAGTGGGACCAGACCTTGATACAAGCATGTCTAGGTTTGGAAACATTTGTTTTTATGAAAAGGATTATTTTATTTTATAAGCAGTTGCAATTAAAAGAAACCAATTCCAATCACTGAAGAAGTTAATAACTTAATTTTTTGTACTCTTTTGACTGAAATTACCAATCAGTGCTGCTCTTAAAGGGATGCCCAACCGAAATTTTGATTCCACAACGCACGCTGTAAAAGCGTGCCGCGGGGTGCTACAAACACCAAAACATCACTCATACAGCAATATCTCGAATGGATGGCCGTTTTTTTTTTTTTTTTTTTTCAAGAAAAGGAGGTGCATTTTACAGAGATGTTCGCGTCATGTTTCTCCGAGAACGAGAGGGAACGGCCTTGCCTCTTCACCGCCTCGCCGCCTTGAGGGAGCGAAGCGAAGAGAGGAGGAAACGAGATATCTTGACGTCACGCGCTTCGTCGGCCTCGGTTCAATCTCGACCTCTTTTCCCAAAAATACGGCCGTCCATTCCAGATATTATCACGGGTGGTGGCTAAAAAAAAAACAATAAATAAACAGGAAGAAATAAACGTTTAATGTGGCGAACTTGTGCCAAAAATAAAAGAGTACAAAAGATAATAATAGAACGTCGCGGGCGTCGAAGTCGGCGTGGCAGCAGAGTCGAACGCTGGGGCGAGACTGGCTCCGGCTTGCCCGCGGAGCCGCTTTTGTACTATCGGGGAAAAATGAAATGCGAACAGAGGAGCGCGTGGCTCGCGGCACAGGCTGCGCCGCCTGGAAGTGAGTCTAGGGGCCAGGGTGCGTGGCCTACTTCGATGTGTTCACGCCTCTCGATTGGCGCTCCCCCAGCTTCGGCAATGCGCCTCTCAGTGCGCTGAAAGCAGTCACCGTTATCTTTGCCTGCTCGGCGAGTGCGGCGAGCTTCTTTGCATCGCACGCGTTGAGCCAGCAAAGATAGCGGTGATAGCTTTAAGCGCACTAAGAGGCGCACTGCTGAAGCTTGGGGGGCGCAGAGGGAGGGGCCTGAACACGTCGGAGTAGGCTACGCACCCTCGCTCCTAGGCTCACTTCCAGGCGGCGCAGCCTGTACCGCGAGCCACGCGCTCCTCTGTTCGCATTTCGTTTTTCCCCGATAGTACACACGTTGGCTTCTGAAGCATTCGACGTAGAAGGTTCGACGCGTAGAACATTCTGACCTCGAATCAGCTAGACGGTTCTCGATTTCACCAGAACATCACATTACAGTGTTAACAAAAATGCATATTCGCGGCCAGGAATCGAACCCTGGCCCTTCGCGTGGGAGGCAAGCGCGATAACCATTAGGCTACGACCGCGCTGCCTACTTGGCGCGCGGCATTACTCCCCTCCTTAAAAAGTGCATCGCCCCGATGCATCCCAAAACAAAACAAAGCGTATAAAAAGAACGGTAAACTAAAGAGTCACTTGGAACACATAAGATCCACAGTCCTATCGAGCGTAGTACGGCTTCAGGCGCACGACGTGGTCGACTTCAGGTCGTGGTGGGCGGCGTGATGATGTTCTTGTTCCGTCGGGCATCACCTCGTAGTTCAGCTCGCCCAGGCGACGAAGTACCTTGTATGGTCCAAAGTACCGTTTCAGCAGTTTCTCACTGAGGCCGCGGCGACGGATGGGCGTCCACACCCACACCCCGTCTCCGGGCTGGAAGTGAACGTCCCTGTGACGAAGGTTGTAGCGGCCCGCGTCAACGCGTTTCTGGTCTTGAATCATGAGTTAGGCGAGCTGGCGGACTTCTTCGGCGCGTTGAGCAACCGCCTGGGTTTCGTCGCTCTCATTGTCAGATGGCTCATGGGGCAGCATTGCGTCCAGAATGGTTGTTACCTTCCGACCATGTACCAGCTGGAAAGGGGTGAATCCAGTGGTCTCCTGAACCGCCGTATTGTAGGCAAACGTGACGTAGGGCAACACCTCGTCCCACGTCTTGTGCTCTACGTCGACGTACATAGAGATCATATCGGCGATTGTCCTGTTGAGTTGCTCGGTCAGCCCGTTGGTCTGCGGGTGGTATGCAGTGGTTCGACGATGGCCGGTGCCACTGAGACGAAGGATCTCTTGCGTCAGCTGGGCCATGAACGAAGATCCGCGATCTGTAATCAGAATTTCGGGAGCGCCGTGCCGGAGGACGATGGACTCCATGAAAAACTTGGCGACTTCCACAGCAGTCCCTGAAGGAAGAGCTTTCGTTTCGGCGTACCGCGTGAGATAATCTGTGGCGACGATGATCCAGCTGTTCCCCGACATCGAAGGCGGAAAAGGACCAAGTAGATCCATTCCATTCTGCTGGAAGGGTGTAGTTGGAGGAGAAATGGGCTGCAGATGTTCGGCCGGCCTTGTCGGCGGTTTCTTGCGTCGCTGGCACTCGCGGCATGATCGTGTGTATAGGTGGACGGTCTTGGGGAGCTTCGGCCAGTAATACTTTTCACAAATACGGGCCAGTGTCCGGGTGTAACCAAGGTGTCCGGATGTCGGGTCGTCGTGGCAGGCTTGGAAGATCTCCTCTCGAAGGTCGCTCGGGATTACCAGCAACCACGGTGTGTTGTTGTCGCCCAAGTTCTCTTTGTAGAGTACACCTTGTCGGATGGTGAAGGTCGGCAGTACTCGTGAGGAGACACGTGGCACGGTACTCCTGCTCCCTTCCAGGTGCTCGATTAATGCGCTCAGCTCAGGATCGTCCCGTTGACGTCGTGCCATATCGTCGGTGTTCACTGCTCCTAGGAAGCACTCGTCGTCATTGTCGTCGCTGCAGCCGGAAGGGGTTTCGACGGGGGCTCTGGACAGGCAGTCGGCGTCGCTGGGCTTGCGGCCTGACTTATAGACCACTGTCATGTTGAACTCTTGTAGTCGAAGACTCCATCGAGCGAGGCGTCCTGACGGGTCCTTCAGGTTCGCAAACCAGCAAAGCGAGTTGTGGTCCGTGACTACACGGAACGGGCTCCCGTGCAAGTACGGACGAAACTTCGTTATTGCCCAGACGACCGCAAGGCATTCTTTCTCACTCGTGGAGTAATTTTTCTCCGCCTTGGACAATGTCCGACTTGCGTAGGCGATGACTCGCTCGATGCCTTCTTGCACTTGGACTAGTACTGCGCCAGTCCCACGTTACTTGCGTCCGTGTGAATTTCTGTTTCCGCATCCTGGTCGAAATGCCCAAGCACAGGAGGAGTCTGGAGTCGTCGTTTCAGGTCGTCGAATGCCTGCTGTTGCTCCTCGGCCCATTCGAACTTCTCGGCGTCTTTCGTGAGATTCGTAAGTGGTGCGGAAATCCTTGCGAAATCCCGAACGAAGCGTCGATAATAGGCACAAAGTCCAAGGAATCTTCGCACGGCCTTCTTATCTGTCGGCGCTGGAAATGCCGCGACGGCGCGAGTCTTCTCGGGGTCTGGGCGGACGCCTTCGTTACTAACCACGTGGCAAAGGAACTTCAGTTCGTCATAGGCGAACCGGCACTTTGACGGCTTGAGTGTGAGTCCGGTAGTCTGAATGGCTTGAAGAACAGCTCGGAGTCGTCTCAAGTGCTCGTCGAAGTCAGCTGAAAATACTACGACGTCGTCAAGGTAGACGAGACAACTCTGCCACTTCAGCCCTGCCAGTACGGTGTCCATGACACGCTGGAAAGTTGCTGGCGCCGTGCATAGTCCGAAGGGCATCACCTTGAACTCGTACAGTCCATCCCGCTTGACGAAGGCTGTCTTCTCTCGGTCCCGTTCGTCAACCTTGATTTGCCAGTAGCCGCTCTTCAGGTCCATCGATGAAAAGTATCGAGAGTGGCGCAGCCGGTCTAGAGTGTCGTCGATGCGGGGGAGTGGGTAGACGTCTTTCTTCGTAACCGTGTTGAGCTGCCAGTAGTCCACGCAGAACCGAAGAGTTCCGTCCTTTTTCTTAACCAGCACGACTGGAGAGGCCCATGGACTGCTTGAAGGTTGAATTATGTCGTCATTCAGCATCTCTTGAACTTGCTGATGGATCACCTCCCGTTCCTTAGCGGAGACTCTGTACGACGATCGGTGCACAGGGCGCGCGTCGTCCTCGGTAACGGTACGGTGCTTGGCAACCGCTGTCTGGCGCACCTTCGACGACGTCG